GTTGTGGCCCAGATGCAATGGGCAAACTTACAAGTACAAGTATGAGATAACTTCTTACCTTGCAAATTTAACCATCTCCAATCATGCAATTTTTAAATATGTCTAGAAAAATGAACAGGATGCCCAGGTGTGGCTGGGCACCCCCAGCTTGTGCTCTAATAAAGTTGGAAGGATTTGCGTGAACTCTGTACTTTGATATTTACTGCATTCAGTCAAACGATTTGTGAAAATTCGTCAATTTTCGTCAAGAGGCAACACTTTGAATGGATCTGCTCAATGGTTCAAGGCAGAACTGCATTAAAATATAATGGGATTAAGTCATTGTCTGTCTGGAGTACTATCACCTAACCACACAAAAACTGGAATCTAAACTGCAATGCATTCAGTAGAGTATTAGGGTATTCGTATAACGAATTCATCTGATTTTCAAGTTAGACTATAATCAAAAATAGTGCCACTTTGGCATAGATAGTTGCACGATTTCATTGCTCACCCCATGAGTTTTTTTCAATATGTATGTATATGCATTATTAATGTCCCCGGAAAATGTTAGTTCTAAATTTCTAATCAATTTTTCAAGACAATCTTTCATAATATCCTTTGCATTTTATATGCGCAACACACGTTTCAGGCTTTCATGATGTGTTTATGACGCCTGTTTTTGCATTTGCTTGTAATGCAGTTGATTATAGAATTGAACACGTTTGCGAAATTCGAAATGGAAAGAAGTCGCACATCATTTGGTGTAATACCGTATTGGTATGTAACTATCGAAGAATGCTTGGTTTTTAAACAAACCAATATATTGGCCGACTCATGTAATTATGATTAGCGCATAACACATCATTGCATAACGGTTTTTGAAGGCATTATTCAGTGATGCCGACGTATTTCTTCGACATTTCCAATTCGTTTTACACTTTTTCTGGAAAGCCGTTTCAATGGCCTAAATTCCTCAAGACTCGAAAACAGGGTTGTTGTGTCCCCTTCTTCGACAATTACAAACGACTGAGCGCTTTTCACCACAACAAGTTTTTGTTGTTGGAATGTATGTCAGTTGAAGTTCGAAAACAATTCGCAACAGAAAGAAGAATCCACGCAAAACCTACTCAGTTCTGTTCTGCGGTCTTTGAAAGAGTCATTCTGAATTTTTCAGTTGAGACTTCGTCATCGTTGTGTTTCACTTGGACTTCAGACTAACATTGGTACTTGTTCCTGATTTTTTTTTTAATCTCGACAAGCTGAATTGAGCTGATTGAAGATCAGTTCAATTTCTGAGAATCAAATCGAAAATCTTCAAAAATTCACAGCTTCAATATTTTAGTGATTAGTCTTTTAACCATGAAATCTCGAGAAATTTCAGAAGTGTAACCAATCGGTGAGCTGAAGAGTCTATAAAAAGTGCTCAACATTTCTCAAATTGTCCACAAAAGAACCTAGGTGGAAAATCAAATGAATCTGAATTTTGTTTTCGGTCGGAAACTTCATCTGGTCAGAAAAATTTCGATATTTTCCTCTGATTTCGTCAAAATGATGGCGCGAAATGTATATTGTCACTCACCCTAGTGATTTATTGCGTATTGATTTCTGGTGAGTTCGTATCGTGATATTGTCATCCCCTTTGAAACGTTGAAATTTAATTTTGATGTTGGTTCACAGAATGTTTGAGCGTTCGACGGAGGATTGTTGCTGATCAAATTCAGCAGCATGTTCACAGAATACTTGCTGGGATCCGGAATCCGCGGAATACGCCCTCGGAAAACATTCGTGACCAATGGCTCAATGAGGGCGGGACGATCGAGTATAACTACAAAATGACGCTGTATTTAGTCACAATAGACGCCATGTTCAATGAGTCGTTCAGAGGATGGATTGCCCACAGAGTGCTGATTTCTACCAGGTAATTCATCAAGTCGTTTATCAAATAATCATTGTTCAGGATTGTCAAACTCATTGCTGTGAACCAGCAGTGTTCACAACCCATGGTCTACGGGCCTGCATGGTCCACAGGAGATGTCACCAAACTTGATAGTCGAGTGAAAAAAGTTAAGAAATTAGAGGGTAAGAGGTAAGAAATCGAGTCAAATTTTTAAGAAAGATTTGAAGAGTTGAAAAAAGGAAAAGACATAACAATCAGCCAAGGGACTGGCCTGTCCCCAGTTAAGAGGACTGGAATGAACTCTTTTTACTTTCTTCTGCAGGTGAAGGATGAATTTAACAGGAAAGAATAGAAATACGAATTTGAGGATTTGAATGCACACGAATATATGCTTGGAACAAAGGACAGAACCGCTTGCTTCGCCGATTTGGAGATGAGTGAGTAGGTATCTCTCTTGTTCTTGATTTCTCTAGTTTTTTGAGGTGTCTTGTGGCATGATTTATTCTGTGTCCAATCCTGGTCGATCTTGTGCCTGATTGGTCTGATTTCCTCCTCCTCCTTTTCTCCTTGAGGGTTTGTCTTCAATGGTTTCCTCGTGATTTTCTTTGATAGTTTTTTCCTCTTCCCTTTTTTATGGAGTTTCTAGGACAGGAGACTTTTGCTGGTTTTCTTGGAGGTTTATTCCTGCATAACAAATGTACCAAGAGTAGCGATGGATGATGTTATCTTTATTCAAAAAATTGGAAAGCCAATGGTGTTTGATTCATAAGAAATAAAAATTGATTTTTCTCCTAATATTGCCCAGATCAAAATTCACCTGATGAAATGAATTATTCAATTTTTTCATTCTAAGAACCCTTTCTTCAAGCCCACCTTTCTAATTTTTTTGAAGACATTCCAATAAAGCTGCTTCATTGGTTTTTAAGTACTTTTTTTTAAAAGCAGAAACTGGTTAAATACCTTCCATGAAGTCCTTCAAACAAAAACTTTGCAAATCTGCAAACATTCTATAAAAATTCATATTCAGGAAGATGATGGGAGAAGTACGAAATACTCTTTCTTGTATGGATCTCAAGTGTTGGAAATCTCTTTCTTGCAATTAAGCGTGGTAAAAGTAAATTTTCCTGAAGCGTATTGGCAATGTTATGATGCAATGTCTGCATGCTGTGCAGTCAGTGTCCATATGTTGGACCTTTAGTAAGGCTTGTTTATTGAAAAATAAATGTTGCTATGTCAAATTGTCAGCATCTTGAGGTGTTTGTATGTTGGGGTCTACCCTTATTTGCAGCAAGTGTAGTATATTTTTTTTGCCTATTTGTTGCCTCATTTTTAAAACTCCACCACAGGCATGGATGTGAGCACCAGTAGTTGTCAATTACGGAACACCAAATGGAGCAATAATCAGTGTGAAATCATTCTCTTACAATCTAACAACTTCATTGTTGACGACCGTGGCCAGCAGCAGAAGTTATCCTGATCATGCTACGTTTGCTTGTCAGTTCGCTGATTGCATTGGATTTGGCAGGAGGCGTCCGACTCGAGCAATTGCTACGACCCCAATGAAAGTGATTCCATCATCAACTACTGAATCCACATTGACGTTGACTGACTCAATTAATGATGCTGAGTCAACGACGACAAGACCCCCGAAGTGGACCATCAGTGTTGTTCAAAACTTTATTAATTTTCTCCCCTTTCTTTTTGGATGGAATTGCTGAAAATGGGATTCCTTACTTGCAGCTGTTGTGGAATAACTTGCTGCATTCAGCATAAAGTTGAGAAAATATACTTGGATCAAAGAATAGAATAAAGCAAGTTGAATAAAACACTCCATCAGCCTGGGAAAAGGCCAGGAATTCTGATTTTATTGTTTCAGAAAAATGGTTTACCTTCATAGGACTGATTTTAGGACTGATGGAATTGTGGGGGTTTGAAGACGTCGTAATCGGCGGTTTTACTTCCTAATTGTTTTTAAATTTTTTAGGAATTTTTGTTCCTTCAATTTAGTCTGGTTTTTATAGTTTACCTGAGATATTTTCTTTGATTAACAACGTTTTTGCTGTAGATGTGTGATTTTCCAACAGCAGCAGCAACTGCATATATTCCCTTGCGCTGTAGAGAAAATGATCTTCAACCAAAATAGTAAATTATTCGGATAACATAAATGAGTGTTGTGCAAAGTCTGAGACTCTTGCAGGGAAATTCAGGAAATCGCATCTTTAAATAATAAAAATTATCAGCTAAAACGACACATGACTGCAAAGCAATGAAATCGAGGTACCGTGAAAATTAGCAAGAACCCTAATGATTCGTTCAAATAGAGTTTGCTTATTACCTAATTCTGTTTCATTTGTGACAAGCCTTAGAGATTCCACCTAGAGTAATTTCTTTGTCAAATGCGCGTCTCGGCTAGATTAATTTTTCAATGTCCACTCTTCTAGTACAGTGTATATTATGTAGATGTTGCAGATCGTATTGTATAAACTACTACACTTCCAATTTGGTGGTTTTTTTTCTTTGTCAAATGCGCGTCTCGGCTAGATTAATTTTTCAATGTCCACTCTTCTAGTACAGTGTATATCATGTAGATGTTGCAGATCGCATTGTATAAACTACTACACTTCCAATTTGGTGGTTTTTTTGTTGTTTCGAATGACTAGTGAGTTGATAGATAATTTATGTCTATTTATCGTATGTCTATTTAAAATTTTCACCGAATCTATACTTGTTCAGAAACCTAAGGTGCGTAGGGGTTATTGAACTTTTTTTTTCTCAAGGGCTCTTCGTAACACGACGTTTCCAACCGCACAAGGATCGATTACTAATGCGTGAAAGCACAGCTACAAAAATATTTTCTCAGAAAAATCCATGATGTTTTTCACAGTTTTGAAGCAGTCTGGCTCATATAATTCGACCGAGGGCAAAGCACTGCGCAGTTGGTCGTCGACGTCGAGACACTCCTTTTGACGCGGCCGTGATGGCAGAGTTACAATGTAAAAAAAAAAGTTTAGCTTGAACCGAGCTGTGAAAAATTTGGAAAGATTTTATTTCGCAAGTGGTATCAAGTTGCACAGAGCATCCAAAATATTTGCTAATACAGTACGACGTTTTTCCTCCGTACATCTTATCGTTGTAGGAAACCTAGAGGTTAAATTGCTTTTTTTTATTTGGGTTTGAACTCGTCGCTCTTGAAATTCCCCATCATTGAATAGATGCGTTTGTCACGTGATTCAGTCTACGTCATGGGAAAACAGGTCTTACTGTTGCTCATTGTTGCCGGAATTCATCACTGCACAGCTAATACTGCTGGTGGGAAGAAAATCGTTGCTTTTTTCATTTGAAAGTTGGCAGTTTACTCTTTTCATTGATCACACAGGATCGACTGGTCATTTCGGGACGAGCAACGTTGTCGTTAGTGCTGCGCATAATCAGCTTCAGCAAATAATCGCTCAAATCTCCAACCAACTGAAAACTTCGTCTGGGATCAATTCTTCCTCTTCTCGCATCGAAGGTGGCGTCGCGGAGACGGACATAACAAATTTAGTGCTGCGCATAATCAGATTCAGCAAATTATCGCTCAAATCTCCAACCAACTGAAAACTTCTTCTGGGATCAATTCTTCCTCTTCTCGCATCGAAGGTGGCGTCGCGGAGACGGACATAACAAATGCGCCCTATTTTGCCAGGGTTGATGCTACCTTCAATGTTACAATGACTGCTACCGTCGTAAGATACCCATGGCAGGGTGGATCTCTGATTTCGAAAAGGTATATTCACCAACTCTAAGCTACAGTATTCATACCGTGTATATTTTTCATAGCTCTGATCACCCCTTCTTGCAAGCTAAATAAAAAGAAACTAAACTACAATGTTATTTAAACCTATGATATGTGGTATAATTCTCCGTGATACTTTTGAGTAGATGAGGAATTTTATAAATTTTAAAAATTTTAAATCTTGATTTGGCGCCAACATTTCCAAAAATTCATGGAAAGGTGATACCCTGTCAAGGAATTTGCTGCAGAATGAAAAATTTTCAACCAACCTCTCCTTATATGGACTGAAGCTTGAGCGCAAACTTTTTTCTTCAATCTGTCTTTCATGCAGTAAGAATCAACAATTTCGATAAGACTTGAACTCAAATGGGTCGAAACTTCAAAAAGCTACTGCAATTCAGATTTCTCTGCACACAGCCATTTAATTTGAACCTGTAGTGTGTGGCGTATAACAGTGACGTTCCCAACTGGTGGTAAGCAGAATGGCGCTAGTCAACAGAAAATTTTGGCCTTTATCCTGGGGAAATTTTTGGTACAATTAATGTATCAAAATTCAGGAGGGAGCCTGATCTCTTTATCTGAAATGTTGGAGAGACAACAGCAGTTGAAATTATATGATGAAAAAATAGAAGTTGGCTTTTCTCCTAATAACACTTCAGAAACATTTTTAACTGAAGAAAAAAGTATTTTAATTTTCCCATTCTGAGAAACCTTTCTTCAGCCCCATCTAATTGTTTGAAGACTTTCCAGTTTACAGCTGCCTCATATTGGTTCTTAAATTTTACAACAAAAAAGCAAAAACCTTTCCAATGCTTGCCAGAAAGTCTTTCAAGAGTGTTTGCAGACTTCCTTGATGAGTCTGAAAAACGTCATGACACTTTGCCTGTCCACAGAAAATTTGTGGAAAGTTTTCTGGCCTGCAAAGAGTTTCATAAAAATGTGATGGTTGGCATGCCCCAGAAGGTCGGGGAACACTGATGTATAATGTTCAGGATAGTTTGAGCCATCATAGCACACATAGTGAACCACGATAAACATAATTTAAGAGCTTCCTTTTTAATTCTTTTAAGATCACGAAGAAAGCAATATGTAATTATACAGTGTTTCCTCGTCCATCCCATAGACAACATTTCACCCAGTACAGTACTTATCTATCGTTTATCATGGCAAAAGCCACGCAATGAATTTCAGCACAGTCAATTCAAAATTCTACTGTGGGGTTCATAGTTGATATTCTCGAGACTGATGCGATTCTCTTGTTTCCTCAACAGACACGTTCTCACCACAGCCTGGTACATCGATCCCAAAGTTTTCGAACTTCCCAGTTTGACGGCAAGGCTATTAAGCCTTTCTGTTACCCTGGGTGGCACTTCAATGACATCACCGAACGTGCAGGATTTCAATGTGACATTGTCGAACGTGATTCGACACCCGGACTATGTCTCGAACTTTGATACACTTTCTGGAGATCAATTCATTAAAAATCAACCGGCGATTCTGTACCTACCTTCGGATGCTGTTTTAGGTGTCACTGTGAGAACCATTCCGGTTATTCACAATGCCGGAGCCACGTACATCGGACAAGGTGTCACAATCCTAGACTGGACTCACACCGAAAGTGAGTATACGGGGTTTCGTCAAGATGGAGAACCATTTTGCGTTTATTTCTGAATCGTATCCTCTTAATTTCCTAGGCGGTGCTGAGCTTCAGCACGCGAGTTATGTCGGCGTGGAATGCAACAGTTCTTTATCCGTGGGTCTGCAATGGTCCCTGTGCTTCAAATTGCAAGATCTCAGCGCCTCCAACGTAGACGACGCAGTAAGGGGAAAAAACGAAATCCACTCTTTCTAGAAGTATGAGAGGTATAGTCAAATTTTGGGGTAAAATCTAGTGAAGGAAGCCCAAAATACAGTATCTACAGTTTGATTCTTTTTCATGTCTGTCATGAAGGTGTGTAGAATCCGCAAGAACTTCAAATCTTTCTGAAATGTCAATCATTGGAAAGTTTCTTCGAATTCTTTTTTGACACAGGAAAGATAAAAGCAATCAAACAAGGATCTTAATGTGTTTTGAGAGGAAGAGACAGTCAAATCGCTCCAGGTCAACATTTCAAGGGACCAGCAAGAAACATAGATTGACTCTTTTGTTTTGAGTTATGGAAACCTGCATTTTTATTGTGGGAAACATGAAAGAATTGCAGGAACTTGTAAATGGTAATATGGCTACAGCCTTAAATTGCTTCTTATAGATGAATTTATAAATGCTGAACTGTGAAGCAAGGGTTCATTTGGCCAATCAGTATGTCAATCTCTTTCAAAACTCATTTATAAGCTACCAGTACTTGTTATATTGCTTTTCTGTTCCATGTGTCAAAAGAATAATTGCCAAAATGCCTCAGAGAATTAAATTTATGGAGGCTTGATAGGAAAAGCTTTGAAGATGAGGAGGACTTTAATATTGTACATTGTTTCTAAGGAAATTGAAGCAGGGACTTTGAAAATTTTTGAATTTGGGTGGTTTGACTCATGCAGGGCCAACTGTACTTCCACAAATAAGTGATACACAGCATGTGACAAATGCTCTTTCAGTTCATTGATTCATTTTCAGATTCTGTAAATTTTGAACTGTACATCATGAATTTTTGTAGTTATATTCTTCCAAAATGTTTTTCATGATTATATTTACATACGAGATTTATTAAATCTTTTTCAAGATACATATTGTACAGTGCTTGAAAAAAATACGTATTCATTTTTTCAGGGAGTAGTTGGGTCTCCAGTCGTCCTTAATTACGCATCCCCCATCGCAGCAATCGTTGGAGTGAAAACCGTAGTTTCGAATTTAATAGAACGAACCAAGTTGACAACCATTGCCAGCAGTTTGAGTTATGATGGACATGCTTCCTTCGTCTGCCGATACGCTGATAGATGCTTAAACGCACCCACAATGAAAAACGCTGCACCAACTAATAAGACCTGGATTTTGACCACCTTTCTGCAGAGATTGCGCAATTGGTTCAGAAATTTCTAAATAGAAAATACGGATATACAAATAAAATGAATATACAATCGTTTGGAAGTTATGTGTGGTCTTTGTGCTTGCATTGATGAGGAATAAGTGATGAAATAACTACATCACAGAGTCATTTAATTCTTGTGGCATTTCTGGTGTGTTACTACACCCTAACTAATTCTCTTCACTGCAAATACTGACCCAAAGGAAGGTACCAGGATCCCCCAGCCTCAGAATCCATCTGAACTTTGCAGGAGCAACAGCTCTTGTGGAGATAACCCTTGGGAGGGGTGAACAGACCTGCTAGACTGTTGTGCAAATGTGTACCACAGTGGTCTGCATTTACCTTTTGTTGAGTGTATTGTACCAGTGATCCATTATAAAAATTATATAAATTGACAGGAAAATCACATTGAATGTGAAATTGAAACCTTTTCAAATTTAACATGTCAGTGGAGATCAATGGCCCAGTGCTGACTCTCCTAGTCCACCAAAAAAAACAAAAATGCAGTGGCCCAAGTTGCCCAATGCAAAAAAAAAAAAAGAAGGTGGCAAAATCAATGAGAAAAATTTAATTTGGCAGAAACTGCAAAAACTTTCTTCCTGTTGGAAATGCCATTATAGGGACAGTTCCTAGGATTAATCATCCCCTATGGAACACCCTAAATAAATCCAGCATGAGCTACTGCATGCTGCTATGCTCCAGAATATTCAATCCATACTGATGTGTGTTGATAATGGATTGCTTGAATGTTTACTGATGAGGAACTTTATCAAACCCTCTGAGAGCAAACAGAAATCTTTGACAACCCTGGCTAAGTTATATATGATGCTCCAAGAGGAGAGACAAAATGTGGATTAATGCTAATGATAATGTTCAGGCAGCAATCCAAAATAATTGGATCCCCACATAATCCTTTGGGGAAAGCTGGGTGAATATAACTGATGGTGAACTTGTGAAATTTGAAGAACTGGTCAAGGCAAATCAAGCACTTGAACCAGACTTCCAAAAAAAAAATATATATATATATCAAAGTTGGAGTTGTCAATTGCCAAGCTCCAGGAGAGGTCACACCAGTTTCAGACCTTGTCCATATCAAAGGCCACAGAGTCAAAATTATTTCCAGTGGTTTTGGGGAAAAAGGCCCAAACCAACAAGTTCAAATGTCAGAATTATGAACCCACTCTGACAATTACAGTAGCAGAAAAAATCAGCTAGTCAAATGGAATGAAGGATAGTAACATTCCAGAAAATATTGTTTGAGCTTGATTAAAACAGCAAATAGAATTTGGCAAACATGTAATAAAGGATCTGTGGATTTTGCACATGATACCAGGGATGAGGATAGCTTTCCTCCAAACACTATTATATGCATCAGCAAGAAATAATCCACCTTTCAAGATCATTGAAGATGCCATAGCCACACATGACCTCATACAAGAACTCCAGCATTAAATTATACAAAGACATGTGAAAAGTAATAATGCCACAGACTGTCTTAGTATAGCAGTAAATAACAATGTGGACCATATATACATTTCAAAAAGGAGAACCTGAAAAATGATTCAAGGCGTCCAAAATGGAGATTTATGGCTTCCATCGTGTCCGGTAAGCCGCCGGTTGGTCAATTCATGGTCGCGCACCTGCCGGTCGTCAAGCGCCAGTCTGTCCAACCGCCAGCCAGGGCAGTTCTTGGCCTCGCAAATCCCCAGCCCACCAAACTGCGGTTTGGTCACCCGATTGTTGGGGCACCCAAACAATGGGGTGACAAGAATCATGCTGCTTTTTTTTCAGAATTCAGTGAGCAGAATGGTATCCTACCACAGATTTTTTTTCAAAATTTCAGCAATGTTAGGTTAGGTCAGTTTATGTTATGTTAGTTTGGGTTAGGTTAGGTTAGGTTATTTTAGGTTAGGTTAGGTTAGGAGGTTAGGTTATGATATGTTAGGTTAAGTTAGGTTGGGTTTGATGAGTTTTTTCTTTTTGTGAAAATTTTTATAAGATGAAATTTTGTAAAAAAAAATAATCTATGGTAGGATACCATTCTGCTCACCAAATTCTAGAAAGAATCAGCATGATTCTTGTCACCCAATTTTTTGGGTGCCCCAACAATCGGGTGACCGGACCGCCGTTTGGTGGACTGGGGATTGGCAAGGCCAAGGACTGCCCTGGCTGGCGGTTAGACCGACCGGCGCCTGACGACCGACGGGTGCGCGACCATCAATTGACCAACTGGCGGATGACCCGGTACCGCCTTATCAAATTCGCAATGCTTGGGATTGTGATTAAAATTGTGATTGGGCTGAGATGTGGCGCAATTAACAACCCTGCTTACCACAAAACCCCTCTTTGACGTCCTTCACATGCGGATACGTTTTAATGTAGAACAAGCCACTGGCCTTGGGGTAATCTGCAGCATAAATGCCCATTTCTGAACAACTTTCAGAATCTTGGGTACAATAGTTCACGAAGCATGCTCCGGCTTGATAGGCTTCCCAACTTGAGCATCTGTCGGCTATAAATCGGCAAACATCTCGATCTTTTGAGATGGATTCAGCATAAAAATTCCCGGGTATTGTATGAGAGCAGAAGTGATCCGTCGAGCTGGTTTCTAAAAGAATTAATGATGGACTTCAGTATATATACTCAATCAACTATTTGGGGAAATCTCAAAATTTGACGAAAGGTCTTCAATAACCTCATCAACATTATTTTTTGCTCAATCTGTCTTTGAAATCTTTTGTTTTGCCCCCAAGAAATAAATGACGATGCTGTATGACATTTTAAATATTTTAGAAATGTGTTCTGTCATTCTGTGTATTACAAATTGCAACAAATCTGCTCTTATTCAAAGCTCTAGCTATAATTTTGAGAAAATTAAACACTTCAGCTCAGAACGAGTATTTATACTCGCAATTTTGCATTGCAACAATCATCGTCATAACCATTTAAAATGAAAATGCATGTTGAATGATACAATAATGTGAAATATTGCGAATTTCAGCATTCGACCCTGAAGCACATTTAAGCATTACTTATTCTGCAATTCATAATTCTTGGATGAATTGAGCAATGTTCATTGTGATCCAACTATAATAGAAAAAAATTTGGAAAACACCTTTCTTGTTGGACAGTACAGTAATTCATTCACATTTTGACGGCAGTGAAGAAATTTGAAAGGAATATGAGCATTATTTATCCAAGAAAAAACAGGAGTAGCACTATAGATCTTGAACCACTTCGTATTTCTGCCGTTTTATGAATTATGAAAATCATCCAGTTATTTGAAGTGTTTTTCAAAAAATACATACCGGTTCCGAAAAGTGTACCCAGAGTGTAGTCGACAAGAGCCCGGAACCAGTCGTCCGGGCAGCCAGGTTGCGTAACCCCACCGTTCGGGTAAAAGTCAACATGCCCGATGGGTTCGTAATCTCCGGCACCTTTGAACACAGAATTGGCACCACTAGTGTGGTATCCATCAACAAATGTGGCATCATCTTTATCCAAATGCACGTCGGTAGGGTAACTCCCGAGCACTGTATCAGCGTACAAGGGATCAGCTGGATCCAGGCCTAAAATGGTTCAAAAAGCTTTATACGCGTCAAATTATGAGTAAAAATCACGTAAGCTGATAAAAAATTTAGTGAAATATGTACCTGATATCCTTGCCAGCTTCTTCTCTGAAATCGAAATGAAGAAGGGGTTTCAAAATTCTGAGTTTCGTGATCGGAATCGGGAATGTGCAGTGATTGCGTAATTTTTGCTCGTTCTTGTGGCCTTCTAACTTCCCGTTGGATTATTTTGATAATATGCTTAAGATGTCAAAATATGTTTAATCGAACTGCCATAATCTTTGAATTGATGAATAATTATGAATTATAATAATAATTATATTATATTATATTATTATAATTATTACTTATTGGGATGATTAAATCGAAGAGGAAATAAATCTTCTAAATGAGTGCCAATAGTTTTATTGTACGGTGTTTCTTGGACGAACTTACATTTTTCTTGAATTCATTTTTTGCCTGGGATAATGCGTTTAAAGATCAGTAGCTAGGGATATTTTCAATTCCAAATACTGTCCCTGGAAATATATTCGGCGCAATTGAAATAATTTGGTTTTTATTCGAAGAACGCTATTGCATTCAGCCTTATGCTGATACAAGTCACATTCGTTCTTGCACATAATTTCTGCCAATTGCAACATTTTTCACGAGGTAAATCCAACTATTTTTCATGCGGGTTCATTAAGTGTTCAAGTAGAGGCATTTAAACCAGTTTCCGGTCCTTTTTCAAATTTGGTGGGTCAACACATGCTTTTTAGTCGCAGTATGATTGGAATGAAAAATGTTTCCATGTTCCAAATGACCCCCTATCCTGTGACCTCAAATGATTGAGACAGAAAAAAAATGCTTGAGGATAATTCTCCAGATAATCGGGGTTCCATTGTATGTTTATTCCCGCATAATTTTATTTTGAAATTTATTTTAATGCTTTGAAAAATGTACAGGAATTAAAGATAACTTACGATAAGTACGTTGAACCCATCGTCCAACATGTCCACAAGCTTGAGCTCCCAAACTGAAGCCTGCAAAATAAAATTGCATTTTAGTCACGCTCGAAAGCCCTTTCGTTTCTATGTGATTTAGATCAAAATGCCTCTGTCTTCATTTCCAGAATGCTAAGCAGGTGTCGCCTGAATCACTGACTGGAAAATTTAAGTCCCAAATTAACCTGGTTACTTCACGAATGAAAGTTAGCTTATTCAAAATTAGTCGCCCGAAAAAAAAACGCAGCGCAAAAAAACGAAATAAAAACGAGAATTGGATTCAATTTATACGATGATGCCTGATGTAAATCTGGAGCAGAAAAGTTTAAACCGATCTCATCCAAGCTATTAAACTTTCAAAGATATGGGAAAGTTGAAAATAAACATTCATCCACAGCACGTACAAGATTCAGTTCATTGTATTTGTATAACTTGTGATCCCTTATTCATGGCATAATATATTTGCATCACCAATCTATAAAAAAATCCAACTCTGAAAACCATTGAAAAATCTTACCACAGCTGGTCTGAACCGCGCAGCGGTATTGAATTTCAGCTTGGGTGATTTTGTTTACAATAGCCTGCTATTGGATTTTTGCATACTCCTCACCTATGCAGTGCATTTTTGCGATGTCAGCATAGGTGCCAGTGTATTTGTCCTGCAGTTCTTTCATAAAGTTGCCCACAATTCTGCCGACGAGTTCCGTGTTCGCTGCTGCTTGACCGTACCTAAAAAAAATGCTTGAGGATAATTCTCCAGATAATCGGGGTTCCATTGTATGTTTATTCCCGCATAATTTTATTTTGAAATTTATTTTAATGCTTTGAAAAATGTACAGGAATTAAAGATAACTTACGGTAAGTACGTTGAACCCATCGTCCAACATGTCCACAAGCTTGAGCTCCCAAACTGAAGCCTGCAAAATAAAATTTAATTTCAGTCATGCTCGAAAGCCCTTTCGTTTCTATGTGATTTAGATCAAAATGCCTCTGTCTTCATTTCCAGAATGCTAAGCAGGTGTCGCCTGAATCACTGACTGAAAAGTCCCGAATTAACCTGGTTCTCTTCACGAATGGAAGTTAGCTCATTCAAAATTAGTCGCCCGAAAAAAACGCAGCGCAAAATAACGAAATATAAACAAGAATTGGACTCAATTTAGACGATGATGCCTGATGTAAATCAGGAGCAGAACAGCTTAAACCGATCTCATCCAAGCTATTAAACTTTCAAAGATATGGGAAAGTTGAAAATATACATTCATCCACAGCACGTACAAGATTCAGTTCATTGTATTTTTATAACTTGTGATACCTTATTCATGGCATAATATAGTTGCCATCACCAATCTATAAAAAAAATCCAACTCTGAAAACCATTGAAAAATTTTACGACAGCTGGTCTGAACCGCCCTGCGGTATTGAATTTCAGCGTGGGTGATATTTTGTTTACAATGCCCTATTGGATTTTTGCATAAAGGAGTGGATACGTCACGTAAAAACGCTACAGTCGTATCCACGGTCACATAAACAGGACGTCAAGAAAGTATTTCAACGGGTGTTAAGACGGCTGCTCAAGGCACAAGCGACGACGAACTGGCATGGACCGGAAACGTCCGGTTTCCTTTTCGTCATTTCCGATCACGTTCCCGTCCCAAGCCACGAAAAATACATTTTCTGTTGGTCTCTTTGCGGAAAAAAATACGCAAAATGAAAAATAAATCTCAAGAAATTCTTTCGTTGGTTCGGTGACTGTTTCCATATGGCACATGCTGTACACATGTTCGTGGTCGTCATGACATGAACTTTTTATGTGTTCCTTTTATATGGCGTTCTATTGCACTGAACGCCTTCGTACTCCCTAACGGCTTAAAAAATCCAGCGCCTTGTTCTTTTCCTTTCAGAGGAATGAAAGTGGAAGAACAATTTTTTTTAATTGAGTGCCTTATAAGAAGAGACCAGGAAAAGTGAGTACACCGCAGTTATTTATTGCTATTCCCGTGGTTACGCAGAAGGGGGTTATAATACCTACCATCTGGTTATATATTATTTTCTTCGCAGGCATTGAGGCAGAAAAGTGTTTCTCAGTGAAAAATTTACAGTAATGTACAGTACTGTGAGAGCATATTTTTAATGACATCTTCGGAAAAAAGTGTCCGTTTTTAGTTGGGAGGAAATTTCAGATTCACGTCGAGTGTTTGAACGCTGTTGAAGTAATTATTTATTGCTTGTTGATATTTCCGATAACGGTCACGCTGATCAGATTTAACTTCAGGATCGAATCGTGAGTGGCCAGAAAACACTCAGAAATTTCCATTACATCACTAATCAATTCTGGAATTTTTCCGCAGATCTGAATTTCAATTCAAGGGAATTTTTGCACCAATTTTATGGGACGCCTAATAAAAATTCTACCTAAATTTTAAAGTCACAAGCACAAAAAATTTGTACGGCAATTCTAAATCAAAGTGTATCTGTTTTTTAAGTATTATATTTTCCTTTTTAAAAAACTGAAGGATTTCGAGCAAAAGCTTTCAGTTCGTGAATACAGTACGAGTATTATTGTTTTTACTTGGCATGAAACGCTCGCGTAATCATCGGTGAAATCAGACACACACGGAACTATTTAAGCTACCGCTTTTCATTGAATTTCAAGTGCGATTAAAGTTGTGTCAAGTCAACTCCAAAAAATAAAATAACATCACATAAATTGAAACAAGAGTACGTATTACCTTTTCTCGGAGAGCAACCTGAATGCTTCGAACAGCAGCGTTTGTTTCGTTTTCCTGCATTCCGTGGATAATGAATCGCACCGGGTTTTCGAAATTAAAGTTGATTGAATCCAGCGAAGTTNAGATGTCAAAATATGTTTAATCGAACTGCCATAATCTTTGAATTGGTGAATAATTATGAATTATAATAATAATTATATTATATTATATTATTATAATTATTACTTATTAGGATGATTAAATCGAAGAGGAAATAAATCTTCTAAATGAGTGCCAATAGTTTTATTGTACGGTGTTTCTTGGACGAACTTACATTTTTCTTGAATTCATTTTTTGCCTGGGATAATGCGTTTAAAGATCAGTAGCTAGGGATATTTTCAATTCCAAATACTGTCCCTGGAAATATATTCGGCGCAATTGAAATAATTTGGTTTTTATTCGAAGAACGCTATTGCATTCAGCCTTATGCTGATACAAGTCACATTCGTTCTTGCACATAATTTCTGCCAATTGCAACATTTTTCACGAGGTAAATCCAACTATTTTTCATGCGGGTTCATTAAGTGTTCAAGTAGAGGCATTTAAACCAGTTTCCGGTCCTTTTTCAAATTTGGTGGGTCAACACATGCTTTTTAGTCGCAGTATGATTGGAATGAAAAATGTTTCCATGTTCCAAATGACCCCCTATCCTGTGACCTCAAATGATTGAGACAGAAAAAAAATGCTTGAGGATAATTCTCCAGATAATCGGGGTTCCATTGTATGTTTATTCCCGCATAATTTTATTTTGAAATTTATTTTAATGCTTTGAAAAATGTACAGGAATTAAAGATAACTTACGATAAGTACGTTGAACCCATCGTCCAACATGTCCACAAGCTTGAGCTCCCAAACTGAAGCCTGCAAAATAAAATTGCATTTTAGTCACGCTCGAAAGCCCTTTCGTTTCTATGTGATTTAGATCAAAATGCCTCTGTCTTCATTTCCAGAATGCTAAGCAGGTGTCGCCTGAATCACTGACTGGAAAATTTAAGTCCCAAATTAACCTGGTTACTTCACGAATGAAAGTTAGCTTATTCAAAATTAGTCGCCCGAAAAAAAAACGCAGCGCAAAAAAACGAAATAAAAACGAGAATTGGATTCAATTTATACGATGATGCCTGATGTAAATCTGGAGCAGAAAAGTTTAAACCGATCTCATCCAAGCTATTAAACTTTCAAAGATATGGGAAAGTTGAAAATAAACATTCATCCACAGCACGTACAAGATTCAGTTCATTGTATTTGTATAACTTGTGATCCCTTATTCATGGCATAATATATTTGCATCACCAATCTATAAAAAAATCCAACTCTGAAAACCATTGAAAAATCTTACCACAGCTGGTCTGAACCGCGCAGCGGTATTGAATTTCAGCTTGGGTGATTTTGTTTACAATAGCCTGCTATTGGATTTTTGCATACTCCTCACCTATGCAGTGCATTTTTGCGATGTCAGCATAGGTGCCAGTGTATTTGTCCTGCAGTTCTTTCATAAAGTTGCCCACAATTCTGCCGACGAGTTCCGTGTTCGCTGCTGCTTGACCGTACCACCGGAAACGTCCGGTTTCCTTTTCGTCATTTCCGATCACGTTCCCGTCCCAAGCCACGAAAAATACATTTTCTGTTGGTCTCTTTGCGGAAAAAAATACGCAAAATGAAAAATAAATCTCAAGAAATTCTTTCGTTGGTTCGGTGACTGTTTCCATATGGCACATGCTGTACTGTACAAGCACCAGCAGTACTGTACTTGAAAAATACACAAGGAAAATATACCGCAAGATAACGTGACTTGCGGAAGCATGAGGGATTGCCGAATTTTTTAGGTCGCGGAACAAGAAAAGGAAAGTCTTGAATGAAAGTGGAAAACAAATTTTTTTTTTTTTTGAATTGAGGGCCTTATAAGAAGAGTTCAAGAAAAGTGAGTACACCGCAGTTATTTATTGCTATTCCCGTGGTTACGCAGAAGGGGGTTATACCTACCATCTGGTTATATATTATTTTCTTCGCAGGCATTGAGGCAGAAAAATGTTTCTCAGAGAAACATTTACAGTACAGTACTGTACTGTGAGAGCATATTTTTAATGACATCTTCGGAAAAAAGTGTCCGTTTTTAGTTGGGAGGAAATTTCAGATTCGCGTCGAATGTTTGAACGCTGTTGAAGTAATAATTTATTGCTTATTGTTGATATTTCCGATAACGGTCACGCTGATCAGATTTAACTTCAGGATCGATTCGTGAGTGGCCAGAAAAAATTCAGATATCTCAATTTCAGCAGTGATCAATTCTGGAATTTTTCCGCAGATCTGAATTTCTCTTCAAGGGAAATTTTGCACGAATTTTATGGGACGCCTAATAAAAATCCTACCTAAATTTTAAAGTCACAAGCACAAAAAAGTTGCATGCCAATTCCAAATCAAACTTTATCGGTTTATTAATTATTATATTATCCTTTTTTTTAAAGCTAAAGGAAAGCAAATAAAGATTTCTGTTTGTGAATACAGTATATTATTGTTTTTGCCTGGCATGAAACGCTCATGTGTGACATTGGCGTAATCAGACACACACAGAAGTATTTAAGCTACCCCTTTTCATTGAATTTCAAGTGCGATTAAAGCTGTGTCAAGTCAACAACAAAAAATAAAATATCATCACATAAATTGAAACAAGAGTACGTATATACATAATGGAAAAGAGCCTCTCGTTGGACTTACGAAGCTTGTCGTCGCAAACAAAGCAAAAGGACGTAAGGCACCTATTACTTAGCGTGGCCCAAAAGCTTTAATTTCAACTAACTTAGGTCGCTTCAACGATAATTTATCAAAGCCTCCGCCTTTTGCGTATCGTCGTAGAAAATATACCGGACATCGAGCACTTGAGGTTCTTCCGGGTTGAAGTGCGTGTTGATCATCTGATACTGGCACTGGTCATTTTTTAAAGCCCACAGTGTAAAACATCCGGTGTCATCTCGAAAGCGGAAAAATAAAGGATGCTTTAAAATTGAAGAAGGTTTTCTCAGCTGAAGTGTTCTTCAATAATCCAGGTACAGGATATATTCGATTTTCTGCATTATTTGTAAGACAATTGATCCACTCACATCCGCGAATTTCCCCGTATTTAACGATGATTGAAGGAGAGGTCCACTTGTTATTTTGCATCAAGAATGGAAAGAAAAGAAAGAACCTCAACTCCTAAAAGTGAAGCTCCGCAACACGTTTGGCCATCTGCATGTTTAGGGTGCCATGTTTACTCCAGTACTTTAACTGTTTGCCACAGTCTTCCTAAGAAACCGATAGGTGCACCTGGAACAAAAAAAAGGTTTATTCGAAATAAAATCTCAAGAAATAAATGACAAAATTTTGAACTCACCGGGACGTTGACTAAAGCAAGGAATGGAATCACTGCCAAAAAGTACATTTTCATTGTGGCCTTCATCCTGAGATCGACGTTATAACGCACTGCTGGTAACACGTTTCCTGATGAAATAAAAATTTTATAGCTTATTCTTCGAACTGCATATTAAATTATTACGTAATTTGGGAGGGTTAGAATTGATTCAGTGACTGCGATTCTTATCTTTAAAATTTTTGCATTACCTGATCCACTTCCAATGAAATGCTGAAGCTCGAGATAATCCTCAATAATATAGCGGAACACAATTTGATCTAGGAAACTATTGTAAATCAGCTGACGTAGAATTTAATTCACGGAAAAAAGCCTCGTTTTCATTAAGAGCTGTCACATTCATTCCGTGTTGGAACTTTTTAGGCAATGGTAGCTGCTGGTATAATATTGTGTTTGAGGAAAATTAAATTTAAGGCCTATTCTTGGGAACCTTTAAAAATGTATGTCCAGGTTCTGGCAAAGCAATAATTGATGGAGTCACTCGAAATTAACGACAGCCTCNGTGTAAAACATCCGGTGTCATCTCGAAAGCGGAAAAATAAAGGATGCTTTAAAATTGAAGAAGGTTTTCTCAGCTGAAGTGTTCTTCAATAATCCAGGTACAGGATATATTCGATTTTCTGCATTATTTGTAAGACAATTGATCCACTCACATCCGCGAATTTCCCCGTATTTAACGATGATTGAAGGAGAGGTCCACTTGTTATTTTGCATCAAGAATGGAAAGAAAAGAAAGATGGAGTTGAGGATTTTCACTTCGAGGCGTTGTGCAAACCGGTAGACGTACAAATCCCACGGTACAAATGAGGTCATGAAATTGACAAACGGTGTCAGAAGGATTCTTTGGCTATCCACGTGGACCTTAAAAAAAAAGTTTATTCGAAATAAAATCTCAAGAAATAAATGGCAAAATTTTGAACTCACCGGGACGTTGACTAAAGCAAAGAATGGAATCACTGCCAAAAAATACATTTTCATTGTGGCCTTCATCCTGAGATCGACGTTATAACGCACTGCTGGTAACACGTTTCCTGATGAAATAAAAATTTTATAGCTTATTCTTCGAAGTGCATATTAAATTATTACGTAGTTTCGGAGGGTTAGAATTGATTCAATGACCGCGATTCTTACCCTAAAAATTGTTGCATTACATGATCCACCTTCAATGAAATCCTGAAGCTCGAGATAATTCTCAATAATATAGAAAAGCACTATTTTATCTAGAAAATTATTGTAAATCAGCTGACGTAGAATTTAATTCACGGAAAAAAGCCTCGTTTTCATTAAGTGGTGTCACATTCATTCCGTGTTGGAACTACGACCATATTATAACACAAACTCCTTTTAATTTAAATTCCGGATAAGAACCCTTGGAAATTTTTACATACAGGTCCAAGACCGTTTCGTTATTAACTACCTCAGTGAGCTTTAATTGCTGTCGGAGAATTTATTTCTTCACAAATTTCCAAGATCATTCGATCAAGTGTGTTAATGAAAAAACATGGATTAATTTTCAAACGAGTGACACAAGAAAGCGGACTTTTCCGGATGAAGTGAAAATTATAATTTCACGAATAACACGAAGATCTGATGTTTCATTTCATCGTTCAATCTAAAATATTAATTTTACGTCGAACCTTTCTAGAGATATGTAGACAATGATAACTGTAGGTAACAATCTGATCGAAGAAAATTGGGATTAAGGCCTAAAATTTGAATTCAGCCCTATTCTTGAGCACAATTCGGAGTGTATTTCGCGGTTTCACGCAGCTATTCAGTAATTGATGTAATCACTCGAAATTCACGTCATCCCCAATTTTCATATTGAAAAATTCCAAAGATCTCGCGATCACGTGTGATGAGAAAGCATGAAATAATTGTCCGTCGAGTTAAATTTCAAATTAAAGCTGACTTTTCTGGATGTGGTAAAAAATGGAATTCGTGAATAACACCAAGATATATATTTTCTCTCGTTGATCGGCCCGGGCACCAGAACGATTACTCAAAGACTGAGCTCGGGATTAGTTTTGAAGGGCGGTGATAAAATGGGGAACAAGACAACAGCACCTACTGACATACAACGAAGAAGGACGTTCACCCCGACTCCCGGGTTCGGAATCCAGCCAACACTAACTAGCCTTTCATCACGGAATGAAACATATCATCATTTCGCCAAAGAAAAACCTCGAATTATCCGCTTCGATTTTCTGACTTTATCGTGGAAACCTTGTGAGCCGTGAGCGAAAATAAAGTATATTATTACTCGTGACTCGTGAGTCAGAAATATTTTCCCTTTTTATTAGTGACGATCCCAACATTCTTTTTTAAATTTATAAATAGGTTATACAAAAGCAAAAAAATATTTAATTTTTCATCTTGAAAAATCAAAACGTAATCCGACGCACTTTGATCGAAGGACCAGGAAAGATCCAGCATAGCAAGGGTGCAAATTAGACGTTAGCTGGTTTTCGATATTCATTATGGAACAGTTTTTCGGTGAACAGTATTTCTTCCAGTGCCTGTAATGAAATGAAGTTGAAAATATTTGTGGAATTCAAAACAAGACCCTGAAGCATGCCCCTATTCATTTCTTTAAAATAATTTCCAGTATTGTATTCTACTGCATTCTTGATTCGGGCAACTTCTAGCTCACCAATTGAGAGTAAAATCAAGAAAAAATATATCGTCCTGAAGAAGCCATGTTGTCTCTTGTTTGTCTCACTTTTTATTTCATGTTTGAGATTCGAGGATGGGATTAAACGATCATTTTTCTCGTGCCTTGAGAAGTCGTAATGTCAATTAATGTAGTTTTAAGGAAATTTAATTTCCCCATAAATCAAGCCTATTTATAGGGCTATTGATATTTTGATTTGGCTCATAAAATCCTTTTGCTCTTGTTGCTTTTGACGGAACTTGAAAATAAAATCGTGCGACGACAGGCGATGGGACTTAATCCGAAAATGCATGTCGATTCAGCAAGCGTTGTTTGTCAGAAAAATTGTGTGTGTGTGCTGGAAAACAAAATTTAAATTTGAAAGCTGTTCCAAGCATTGAAAAACTGACCAAAAATGTAATTTTTCACAAACATGTCCATTGCCCAAGCTTGAGAAAACTCTGATGCTCTGAAAATTTTGAGTGCTTGATATCAAGTAATTTAAATTCAAAGTTCATGTTCGCTACAAGAAAATGTATTTCTTGTCAAAGCTAAAATTGAAATCACAGGTTCACAGCAAACTGGCACACCGATATACTGCGAGTATATTCGTGCAAAAATATTTCCAATCACTATATTTTCGCAGAATAATCAACGCTGAGCTGAATTTTCTTCAAGGACAAGTTGTTGCTGATAATGCTTGAGTAATCCCTGCTTGATTTATCGTAGTTCCCTTTGGAAAACAAGCGTAATACCTGCAAAAGCAAAACAAAACAAAAAATCATCATACAAATGACATCTACTTGCTCGTTCATTTTTCGCATTACGTAGTTTTTGTCGTCCCCCGTGTCTGAAGCATCATAGAATCCAATGTGATGGTCTTGTCAAACGTTGGATTTATTTTTTCCTTCTTGAATTTGAAGTAATCCAGTTCTTTCTGATAGAAAAACTTGATTTCCACAATGGCAATATCTTTGGAGTAAGCAGGAACCACGGCGTACTGGGTTGAGCCCGGCTCGAGTTTCTCTTTGTCACTGAAATCAACGTTCATGAAAGAATAAACATTCCACTTGAATCTTCCCTCGGAAATTTTTACTCATTGAAATAAGCGATTTCGCTCAAGCTTTCTTTCGAAGCAGACCAAACAGTGATTTGCAGGCGCCCTTTGGTACTTTGATGCGAAGTGGAAACTACAGCAGTCGCCTTGAAGAGAGTTGCTGGACGAACGCGTAATAATTTTTAAACAAATCACTGTCAAACTGTTGATTCGAACACTTTTTTTCATTTTACGTACCACAGTAGCCAGTTTTTGCGAGGTAGGCTTCCGGATACGTTTTTATGTAGTAACTGCCACTGGCTTTGGGATAATCCGTGGCGTAGATTCCCATTTCTACGCAATTCTCGGAACTCAAGTCACAGGGATCTTGGAAACAATCACCGACGTTGTATGAATCCCAGCTAGAACACTTATCTGCGATGAATGCACATGTTGTTCTATCTTGGCTGATGGAATCGGCGAAAAGATTCCCAGCCCTGGTGTGTGAACATGAGAAACCTTCAGTACCTCCACCTGTGATGAACAAGGATGGAAGCAGTTCAGAAACAGTTGGACGACCATATATGAATGTTTAATCAACGTACTCGTATATGCAATTAAAGCTAATTGCTTCCCCAAAAAACTGAATCGCGTCACGGATGTTTCAGAATCATTATCTTTTCTGAGCACATCAGAACGTTTTCGATGATGCTACGAGTTCTTCATTTTTTTATTCTTGATTAGCACGAAGCCATGATAACTTTTTACATGATCCGTTTTTAAGAAAAATGAATGAAAAATTTCCCATGATTTACCGTGTAGCTTTTTTTTATCCCAGAAATTTATACGACATCAACGAACAAAACGCGCAAATAGTTCAATATCAACAGAGAGTTCCTGTTGCTGCAATAGGAAAACCTGAATTTTGACAGCACTAACCCCTTCCACCAAATTATCAAAATATTTGAGTAAGTGGCTAAATTTCAGAAATTCGTTGATATTCGCGAATAACTTGAGACAATTTCCTGAAAATTACTTCAACGCGGCTAGAAAAGCATGGAACAATGTTTTCTCCTAATGTCGTTGCTAAATTTCAAGTCATGCGATAGTCTCCGTGGGGTGAAAATAATGAAAAGAAAATTACGCTGTTTATTGGCACCATCCTGAAATATTTCAGAGGGTCACATGAAATATTTGATTAGGATATCATTATATTCACTCAAGTACCTAAGCCCTTTTTTCTAAAATTAAGGACCAAAAAGTGGGATGTTTGTCAAAATCAAGTATACAAACTTTTCCTTGCAAATTCGAAACATTTCTTTTTGTGCTCAATTACCCGTGAATTTTCATACAAATGAACTATAAAAGACGAGAGGCAAATCGAATTAAATCGGATTCCTATTTTATTTGATTATATGCATTGATAAGTGAAGCTGCTGTAATTCTTGATTTGTCAATATTTTCATTGAAATATGGGCAGGTGAATCTATTTCGCAGATATACGTTTCTATCTGGTTTTTCAGTTCAAAAATAATGGCGAGTATCTTAAACTTGGGCGCATATGGCACTACGATAAATGCATTATTGATTTTCCAAACCTTTTTTTCTTTGAAGGGATCACTTTTTAGGAGCCGTGATCGAGTGCAAAATTGACAAAAAATGTCCCCGCATTTTGTACGACTGAAACCTTACCTTTTCCTGTCACAGATAATTTGAAGTAATTTAGCGCAGCTTCGAGCCAGTTGTCTGGACAACCAGTTTGAGTTACACCTCCATTGGGATAAAAGTCAACGTGTCCATGAGCTTCGTAGTCTCCGGCGCCGACCAGCAGAGTTTTGGCACCACTGGTGTGAATTGCATCTACAAAAACTGCATCTTCTGGCCCTACCTTGACATCAGTTTTGTAATTGCCGATTAATTTGTCCGCGAAAAGCGGGTCTGCTGCATCTAAAGCTGAAAATTGATGGAGATTATACGGGTTCTAAAAAAATTGCTGCATTGAATATGTCAGCGTAAATTTGTATTTAATACAGAACAGTACCTGATATTCGGGCCAACTTCTTGCCTGTATGAGCATCAAAATATATGCGAAAAAGGAAAAATTAGGCGCAAATTTCACGATTTTTTTTCCAATTTTTTACACTTACCAAACGTTCTCTGAACCCACTGCCCCACGTGTCCGCAAATTTGAGCTCCCAAACTGAGACCTTCGAAAACGAAGTTCATATCGGTATTCCCAACATCAATAGATGAAACTCAATCAGGTTAAATTTTTTCAACATACCAATGCAGTGCATTTGTGCTATGTCAGCGTAGGTGCCAGTGTACTTGTCTTGCAGTTCTTTCATAAAATTGCCCACGATTCTGCCGACGAGTTCAGTGTTGGCAACTGCTTGGCCGTACCAACGCAATCTTCCAGTTTCTTCGTCGTCATTCCCGATTACGTTTCCATCCCAGGCCACGAAAAACACATTTTCCGTCGGTCGCTAGTTTCATATCGATGATTAGTGGGATTCATGATCTGCGAATGGGGGCCCCGACGTACGGACGACCCCGAAATGCAGACGATTCGACTTGGGGACATTTTTAACTCAAACAAAATCCTCCGGAATCCGGACAGAACTCGTCGAGACTTTTTCCAACAATTATTAAAAATCTGAAAAAAATACTTCAAAAGATTTCAATATTCTTTGAATTGAGCTACACAGTAGTAATAGTCACAAAAACTAAAAAATAAACTTCATTATAAATTTTATCTGATTCATTTTCAAAAAAGGCTAATGTCTTCCTTTTTTCAACAGTTGTTTCCAGCATCATCAGTTCGTCAAATATCAATACTTGTTCGTCTTCTCTGCATTGAGCTCCTTTAGATGTAAAAATATCATTATGTGATCTATGTGGTTCTCTCCTGATGCGCAGTTATTTTCTATCTATTTTTATAGTTGAGTAAGACAAATTTTCCAGGGAATTATTCCTAATTTTTGATGTAGAGGAAAACCAATTGAATATTTTTCAGTGTAATTCATAGGAAAACGTGATCTAACACGAGGATGGCTCGAATATAGGGGTAAGGTCCATATGAAAGCACCAATTACGTCCGTATTCTGGGGCCCCACGTACTGTAATCAATCAGAAGATCTATTAATTGTCTCTACATCAGAGTGATTTTTGTGGAATTAAATTTCTATCACATTCATCATATATGTCTCACTTTGTCTTTGAGAGCCTCTTGGATGGACCTCACAGTAGCATGCGTTTCATTTTCTTGCATGCCGTGAATTATGAATCTCACGGGATTTGCGAAGTTGAATGTGACGGTGTCGAGAGAGGTTGCGTAGTAAATAGTTGTTTCTGCTTTTTTTGAGTCATCGTAAATCTACATGGAGTGTAAGTCTTGCCATCCAAGAAGCCCTAACTTCAAGCTCGACTAGTAAACTATGACCGTAAGCGACAAGAACCAACTGGTGTCTCACTTTGTCGGCCACAGTAGACGTAACGTAGCCCAGTTTTATAAAAAAAAATCGTTGTACAACGGGTACAGGCACAATTATACTTTGAACTTGAAAAATCAAAATGGGTTGAAATTTTCATAAATATTTGATGCATGAGCTTAGTTACTGGGCGGCAGCAGGGGATGGTCATTCTCTAGCGACATCTAGAAAAGAGAAAGCTCTTTGCTGAAAGTTTTGTTCCCCGTCTTTGACGAGATCGCAGAAGCGAATTAATGTAGGAATGACACGTGATCCATAATGAAAGTATGAAAGTACTGTACCATAGTTCTAGGATATCGATGTTGAATTATTCACACTGCTTCTTTGGAAGTAAACGTCAAGCCAAAGCAAGGCTAATAAAAAAACGAAGCTACTGTGCGATATACCTGTATATTGATTGCTTATTACCACGAACTTTTCTGAAAAAAAAATTTTCGCCAGCGAAGATGTAAGTCAGAGAAGCTGGATTTTACTGTCGCCGAATCTTTTATTTTATTTTTGCTAACCATGAAAAAATTGACAGGAAATTTATCGGAAATTCTTCCATTTGTTTGGAACGCCACTTTAAATTAATTCAAATTTCAATGAGCACCTTATTCAAGACCAATTCCTGCTGGGTACGAAAACATATACAGATCCATATCGAATGATTCAAATGCACGTGCCACAGGTCATGAAGTTCACTCGTAAAATAAATGCAGACTCGAATAAAAAAACATTGAATACGTTTTCATCAGGCAATTATTTTCAGAGCATTATTCCTATTGTTATTGAAGTGTTCAGGAGCTTCCGCAGGAGCTTGAAGATTGGGTTTTCCATTTCTGGTCTAAACTCGATATTTCCAGTGTAAATAAATTAATTCTTTTTTACATACTGTACTCAGCGCTGATTAATTCCATCTTACGTTTTCTGGCGATTACAATTTTGTAGCGTGTAAAAATAAACGCAGGTCAATGTTTCCAGTCTAAGACTCGTTTAGTGTAAAGGGCAATTAACTCACATCCTCTGACTGCCCCGTAGCGGACAATCACGGAAGGAGACGTCCATTTGTTGTTTTTCATCAGGAATGGAAACTTGAAAAACAATGAATTGATGATTTTGGTTTCCAGACGCTGCATCCACTCGAATTCGTATAAATCCCATGGAATGAACGAAGTAATATAGCGCAGAAGTGGCGTCATTCGAACTCCTTGGCCCTCACCGGGCGCCTTTCGTCAAAGGTTTTATATAGACGACGTTCATTTCTATCGTAGTTATTAAATTTCTCACCGTTGTTTGCAGTAGTAAAAGGCAAATGCCCACCACACTGAAGGTCAGTGATATCCGATTTCCTCCCATCGAAGCGAAAATTTTAAAAATTATAAATCAATAATTCTTGCACGCGGTTTTAAAAGATGAGAAAGACGAGTTGCATCACGTAACGCACTCTTGCTGATTCGCAGATTTGATTCAAGCAACCATCACGAAAGATTTAATATTGGAAGTATTTCCTACGAAATAGTGTACACATACACAGCAAACATTCCAGGAACCAAAACACTGTTTTCTGCCTCTGGTGGAATTTCTTTTACTAACTTCAAATACGATTTAAGTTAGGCAATAGAGCTGAAGTACACGCTTGTATTTTGGAAGAGTCGCGCATTATTTGAAACTATTTTTAATACAACAAAAATCAATAATTGATTCAGACGCGCACCCACATATTTTTGTCCAAGATTTAAGAGATTATCAAATTTATTTTCAATTTTTTCCAAGTTTCGAATGTCGAACACTGAATAACGCACTTGGCAACTCATCGTCACCAACTCATCGGGATTCAAACTGACGTTGGTGAAGATTTAAAAAGTATGTCTACGGCGAGAAAAAAAAAATCGTCAACCGTCGACGCGAATCGCTTTATACGTTGTAAAACCGTGTTTCACGTCGCTCAGGCAATTCAATTTATTTCGCTTGAGAAATATACGGCAAAAAACGTTGCGAGGGGTAGTTTTTTTCCTTATACCATGTTTGTCGACAGTCGACACCATCCAGAGTGAAATGAACTTCACGCGAATAATACGAAGTTCACCCAAGAGTACTGTATAAAGAAAGCCACACACAAAATAAGCGATGGAGATGAAGAAGAGAACGCAATTGACAAACAGAAATATTCAGGATTTTCAAAAGAAAAATGCATGTGTTTCTTTCGTAGCGTTCTTCGATCGGCAACCCTAAAAGTCAATCAGTGCATATCAGAGATTCAAAATAAAAAAACCTATTATTGAGAATCTGATTTTACATATTGTTACGCTCGATCGTGATTGGGGATAATTTATCTTTTCAATTATCTTCGATAAATTCAAGCCATTGTTTTTTCACTTTGACTGCACCACTCGATTCCAATTTGAATCGTCCCTTGCTCTTCAAACACTGAAAAAAAATTTGGACGAAATAAAAGTCAATTTGAATGTTTCTTGTTATGAACGAATATGATGCAAGTACTTTTGTTTTTGTATTCGTCGTGACGTTGTCTATAATAGAAGCCGTGACGATAAAGTTTGCTAATAGACAGCCATTCGTTTAAAATAATTAAGAAAGATCAGTTTTATGTGAAATAAGAGAGATATAAAGAATTTTTTCAGAGTAGTACCCCAAGGTGAATTGAAATATGCTGGTTTGATCTTCGCATGTCGATATTCAATTGTGATGTATAAGAAGTGGCGAAAGGCGATCTGCGATTGAAACCGGATAATTATTAACATTTTGGGCATTTGATACGTGCACAACTATAGAAGCCCTTATAGAAATCTCTTTTCTCTTGCGATGAGTAATTATTATTGTAACTGTGTTGGTCTACCATTGAAAATGTCATGTTCATTCATGTATTAGCTGTACAGCTTATTTCGAGGAGTTGGGTATTATTACCAGAGCTGTAATTCGAAAAGAGCTTAGCATCAATATTCATCGGTGATAATTTTTGGGATTTTTCCGGGATTCTACAGCAATTCCCAGAGCCCGTTTATAAAAATGCAGCTCAAGAACTCTCTCTCAGCGAATAAACCGCTGAGGAAGAAAAAGGCCGAAGCCAACCGTTGCGCTTTGCATTTAATTTCATGGATGAAGGCACTCGTGGGGGAATTTCATTTCAAGTTCACCACTTATAAAAAACTTTGATTGCATAAGCTTCATGGGGAGGGGAGAAGGTTTGGATGTGGGAACCTTGTGAACGCTGAAAAGCAGAAAATGAAGCTTGCTGTTCAATTCAATTCAATAAGGTTTGTTGCATCACTTATGTCCATATTTATTTTTGTAAAATTCGATCAATGTGCATACTCACATAATTCTTATGGCACATTAGAAACTTCAAGTCTTTGAGTTTGACTTCATTGGAAAGACAGTTGCAGAGTTCTGCACACTAACCATTACTGCTGGGTGAAATAATCCAATACAGTTCGATTGGAACGTGAACCACCTGCACCTATAGTAGTTGGTACCCACGTCGCTGAAGGGGAAAAAGTGGAATTCCAGAATTTTCCATCGATACCAGAACTTTTCCGCCTGTTTTACTTTTTTCTTGCGTCTCATAGGTGGTGATGGGAGAATTCGGCATCAGAGTTGTGGCTGGGCAAGAAAGATGTCGCTAAAAGAATAGCCTTGCAGAAGATGATATAGTTACACGTGAAGTACAGTGCGAACAATATAATACTTATTGTATTACTTTACTCTAAATTGAGGGTTGAATTGAATTAAAACCAGACTATTGGTAAAGCAGTCAGTAGTGGACAGTCAGAAGAGAAATGTATGACTTGGAAATCCGCAAAACAGCCTAGAAATATAAACAGTCGAAGTTTTGATGTGCAACAACAATTAAACCTTCCCCAAAAAAAGTTCTCCACCCCCAGATGAAGCCATTCGCCGGAATTTAAGATATGCAGTGCTCAAACATTGTCTTGTGGAAGAA